AAATCGACAGTGGTTCAGCGTGGTCTGTACTTGTACTGAAAACATTTTGACCCCCGTGATGACGAATGTCGCTGTCGATAAGAGTACAAACCATGCTAAACCACTGTTGATTTGTTAAATACCTTGAGTATCTGCCAAGCGGCGCAGAACATTTCCTGGCGTATTACAGTGAACAGTGGGCAACAAATCATAGAAAGGCCGCTTTGATAAACTTGATCTTCCCGACTGACTCTGAAAAGAAGAGAATAGAACCGAAATAATCAATAGGCAAATCCAAGTACACCGGTTGTAGTGTTGTTAATGCATAGTGCCTCTTGCATGAGGCACTATGCACCAAAATGTTTTCTCGTCTAAAATAGGATAATGACCCCGTCTGGGGCGTTAACCAGCAGGCCAACCATTTATAATTCACATCCATAACTTTCCATATCAAATGGAACATCCACCAGTTTGATTAAGATAATTTTGGGCCATTACTTTTACTAGGTGAAAATTGGCGGAATACGTGACAAAGATCATTCTCAGCTAATTTTTCCGCCTGGAGACTTTTCTTCACTACTTGCACAACCGCAACTTTACTTGGTTTTTGCTCACCCCTTGACTTTCATATTCTTCTTCCTTGGTGAGCCCCATGGGTAGGGGAGCAGCTGTAGTAACTTCAATGACGTACAAGTCTGTGGTTCGTCTTCTCCATACTCTTCCCATCTTGTCACAAAGGTAGCCAAGGACCAGAAGGTTAAAAAGAAGTGTATCCAAACCACGTCTCATCTAAAAAGGAAGATGAAGTAATTATCAGAGAGTTAATCAAACTGTAAGGTGTACATAGTGAATGTAGATTTCTCAAATGCATTAATTATGCATAAGGCGATCATCCAACCAAAACACGCCAATTTCGCAACATGCATGTGGTTTGAAGCCCCGGTGAAACCCTGAAATGATGCGCGATCATATAAAATCAAACTCTTGACTGTTATATAGCATCAATCTCTCGTGGCCTCATTTCTTAACTTGAATAAAGACAACAAACTTGCCTACAACATGTGAAAAATTCGTGAATAATTCCATTTTCGTCTATTCCCAAGGCGCGATTGAGAAGCTGTTTCAAAAACTCGTGCATCGGGTTTCATCAGGGTCTATAAACACTCGAAAACAAGAAAAGCACTCGGCCTGCTGCCTCGTGCTTTCATCAGTTTTCTCGTGTTTGTAAACCCTGATGAAACCCTCGCACTCATTTTTGAGATAGTACGTCATCCTCGAGAACATGCAGCTGCTGACTAACACTTCTCAAGTATTTTCCACTAGCAATGCCTCAATCTCTCTTGATTTCGCCTAACACCCAGAAAATTTCAAAACCTTACTGAAGGTGATACGTCGACATGGAAAATCCGGGAGAGTGGCACATTGGCCTTCACTGTGTGAGGCAGAAGTGCATCCACAACCATTGATGAGTCGGTGGAATTCCCATGGAGTGGTACAGTTACATGCAATAATGCGTTGCAGTCTTGGCTGCGCAAATTTGTTACAACCATTTCATTGTTTGCAAGGTCAGGCAGCTGTTCTGTTAAGCGACGAACAAACAGAGTCTTTCCCATGCCTCCGCGATGAGACGAGACAACTCGGACACAAAGTCTAAAAAGAATATCCGGAAAAACCGAACAAATCTCCATTAAAAGATAATAAAAATTTCGTACAAAACAGCTCTAGCACTTCACTGGAACCTAACTTTTTAGGGGCAAAGAGTTTGATCTCAACTAATCAAATGCGCTTAAAGGCTTTTTTAACATCTTCATCGAGGGGATACCTCTTTTCTAAAGTAGCTCATTATAGAGGTCGCATTCAAATAAAGGTTCTCCTGTTACAAAACTGTAAAAGAAAACTAACCTCTCTGGATCCAAAGATCCAGCTACAGTCCACGTAATCTTACTGCTTCCGATGAATCCGTGCTGAGGAGGAGGTGCCTTGAGCTGACGCTTAAGGTATTTTTTGAGGACTTCAGGCGAAGGACAAGGTGGGGAAGCGACACGATACTGATCAAGAGCTGCCACTACGTTAGCACGATCTTCATTCTCGCTACTGCAGATGACCACCAGGCCATAATCTGAGAGTTAACGAAAGTGAATTATGTATCTTACAGTATCTAAATTCTAGAAAGAGGGTTTGTAGTTATCACAAGCTGAACTCACTTTCTCCAGGCTTGCCAGCAAGTCCCTGCGTCACCACCCTCAGCATGTCCATTGCTTGTTTGCTGACAGAGAAGTCCAATACATCTGCATGAACGAGGCAGTAGAATCGACCTTCCATGTCCCCAATGGCTCGTCTCCACAGCAGCTCGATCTACGTCAAAGGAAACCATAAAGATGAGAAAATACCTAGTACCACCTATACTTGAATACCACGAATTGTTTGGACTACACAAGGAGGATACCTGATTTGGGCTACTTCACACATGACCCTAAAGGGTTATGACTAATATGGGCTGATTAGCAAGTAACTCGTAGCATCCCATCCACGTCGAGGAAAATTCCTTCCTGACTCATTCGACTGAAGTCAGAATCTAGTGGTCGTGTCTTATGCAAGGGGCATTTCATCAAAAACGATATAAGCAAAAATTTTACAAAAGAATAATTGTTAAATATTCCAACAACTACCTCTTCTGTAGTGGTTTCAGGACTACAAAGGAGAACCTCTTCATGACTTGGTAACGGCTGTTGCTTGTCATGCATATACAGAGTGAGGACTGTCGCAAGAATTTCACCTACAAAAGCGTGGATTCAGTAACTGAAAGCACAAATCATACTGCTCTTAAACTTTCAAAAACAAACAAACCAAAAACAGCTCCCTGAAAGACTAGTCTAGGTTTTAAATCTTTACATAGTTTAATATCGTCAAAGAGTTCATACCACAAAAATCTAGATGAAAACAAGACTAAATTTATCTTAGTAATAACATTATCAAGAACTAAATGTATCAAATGCGCTCAAGGTTATTACGATACTTACCTTTTGGAACAAGCATGAGGTTGGGTCTTCCTCTTTTCAAGAATGCTGGAAATGTCCGAGGTGTTGCCTGTTTCCCTATAAAGATGTAAAATTCTACCTTTGTGTTGGTCCAGAGGAAATAAAAACGATACTTCAACCCTAATATTTCAGTTGCTAATTGAAGACTCGAAAAGCTAGCTATGAATGGCCTAAAGTGACTCAACCTAAAAAATGAAGATGCTGCTCATAACTGAATAGTGTGAGTTCCTAGGGCTACGGATAGGAGAGTGAGGTATTAACATTGAAAAACAAGAATTTATAGTTAGGCATTTAACCTTTTACTGAAAGCTCCGTGAGGAAGTTTCCCAGCTGTGTGAGTGTAAGATACTGACTGATCTCTGCCTCTTCGTCCTCACTCGTTTTCTGATCGGCAGGCTCTTTTTCAACGAGCGTCTGTGATATGTCGAGTAACAAGTCTGATCCGCTTTCGTTTGCACTTTAGTAAGAGAAAAATGATAATATTGCGTGGAATTTGACGAAGTAGAAAAGGAAGTATTAAACTATTCCCACTACGTAAAAGAACAACAACAAATATTCCAATAATTGCTTAACATCAACAGACTTCTTTGATTTTTCTCTTGAACTTTACCGATGTGAGTGTGATTTAAAATTCACTTGAGATAATTCCCATTACACCGCAGTTGTTTTTTCCGCCTGATAGGATACCTTAGATCCGCTGCTTGCAACTCGTGATCAACAGAATCAACTTCTTTTGAGAATAATTCTCGCACAATCATGGGGTTTTGCCTTGCATCGTCGTACAGAGCCTCGATGTCAGCCTCGTCGGCCTCTTCTAAACACCAATACAGTAAGTCGTCCTCTTCAGCATCAACACCCAGACTCGCAAGAGCAGCCAGTGCGATTTGTTCCGAAAAGCCCTCCTCGGCAGCAGCATTTAAGAAACTTTCAATCTTGGATGTTTTCTTTGGCTTTGGCTTTAGCTTTTTAACAGACGCAGCTTGAACTGGATGCACACCGATTCCTGTCGAGGAACTTGCCTTTTCAAAGACTGATCTACGAGTTACCATCTCGTATTGCAGAGGATCAGGAGAGAACGATGGCAGCTCACCTGGGCCTTTAGTGTTATCAAGAAGACCCGTGTCTTTGAAAGCCCGTTGTATCGCTGATTTCAAATGTTCGTTAGTACAGTTGGGACGAACGCTTTCTAGCAAGGTAAGAACTTGGACACTGTTTACGTCAAGGCCACTGCTGTGGCAAACTGTGGCGATTTCTTTCCTCAGTGTCATCAACTGCTGAGTCGTGAAAAAATTCAATTCCCTGAACTCCTCTCTTGCATCACTAACCTTCTTTTTCCAGTTGGAGTAACAAGTTTCCATGGATTTGCTTTCATCTTCCAGATCTTTAGCGATAGATTTTCCCTCCACGAAATCATTTTCACAGTGAAACTCTCCATTCCAGTCCATGCGATGAACAAACCCAGACTCGTAGAGGTTTATGTATGCAGTAGCCAAACGCATGACGCCTTCCAGATTCTGACAAAAAGTGACGCATGACAATGTTTACCTCAACGTGACTTCCTTCATCTATTTTCCAAACATTATAATTATTCATACCCAAATGAGAAATGGCTTAAGTATCTTACCAAACTAAACGACCAACCAACGATCGATATGGTTATCTATCCCCAAATATTTTATTTGAGAAGTTTAAGTGTGGGAAAAACTTTTCTACACAAATTCAATAAAATTACTTCTTCAATGCATGTGGTATCGTCGTAATGTGAAACTAGTAAAAAAAAAAAACACTCCTGATTTTATCGTAACAGCAATTAAATGTATTGATAACAGACACCGGAACAAGTAGAATGCTAAAACATCGTTGGTCACTTGTATCGCTATGCAAAAGGGCTTGCAAATTGAATTTTACTCTCATTGGCACGTTATCCTTAAGATCCTTCTAATGTGAATATAACATTATGCGAAAGTTTTTTTTTTGCAACTTTAACAGATTAAGATCAAAATAATGCAACAAGGTATACAAACTCAGCTCGTTTCGCCTAAATATGCAAGGTTAGATGCTAATGACAATGATGTGACCGATGTGAGCTGACTATACGAGTGAAATTAAGGTCCGTAAATTACAAACGGTTCCAATATTCCAAATTCGAGTAAGATGCAATCGCAAATTATCATTTAAAATACTCCTTACTCCCTCCATGACTAAAAAGTTTCGTTAGAAACTGTTAGTTTCTTATAAACCTAACTCCTTTGAAAAAATAAAACAAAATAAAAAACAGTTTAAGCTACATTACTAACGAACTAGTCTCACAGCTTACCGTAAATAGTGGGAAAATAATCCTCTATGCCATGAGGCAGCGTTCTTGTCTTAAGGCTAAGAATGACTAGGTTTATTGTTGTGCATGTGTAAGGCGCCTGGTTTTACCGCCATCTTGACGCAGTTGTATATGTAGGGTATTAATAGTATTTTTTTGGCCCTTGCATTGACTCTTGACGATTTGCATATCTTACCCTCGAAAACTGTTCCACGTCATCCTTCCCTTTTTCAGCCTTTCCTGCAATCAACATCAGTTTACTCTGCAAATCCTTTAGTTCGTCAATAGAGTAAGTTTTCTTTTGCTCCTTCTTTTCACTTCCATCCCTCAAGGGAACCGTCAGTCGGACCACATCTTTCAACGACAACCGTTTTCCTTGTTCTGGTGACGGACCTATTTTAGTGTCCAAGTGACCCACAACATATACACCGCTGGAGTTGATGGTCGTAGCCTGCACTAGCGACGTCATGGCAACAGACCCATGAGACTCTTTAACCGTTTTTAACCAGTCCAGGTTTCTACTTGTGTCATACTATGAAATAAATAGAGGTATATTTTATAAATGAGTTACTTGTGAAAATGTTATCGTTGAAGACGTAAATTTCATTGCGAACAACTTTAGATATCTGTTCAATCAACCAAGATAATGTTCGTACACGCGGTCGGCAAACTAACTCTATCCATCAAAAATTATACCACCCAAATTTGATCAGTCTGAAAAAGAATTGCTCCCATACATATACCTCACGCTATAAATCATTTGAGAACTACGTTACGTTTTTCTATCACAATATGTTTTACCAGTTTTCGGGGCAACATCTGATCTGCCTCTACTGCTTTCCATATAGGATTACAGGCCTTCATCAGTTGGTCAAAGCCCACTTTCTGTTCTTGAGTTTCAATCAGGTCAAAGATCAGCGGCGCAAAGCCTAAGCAGCTGGTATGCAGATTGGATATACGGTCAGTTTCCATGTCGGTTTCGCCAGCAGAGATCAAAGCCAAGTCAACCAGAACCTTAAGTTCTTGGGTAGCTGTAAACAAAAATACTTAACTTCCATTATTTGCCAAAGATCGCACGTAACTTGGTTCTTTTAACTTCAATCTTGACTCATCATTAATCTAATAGCAACACATCTAACAAATATATATGGTTGCCGGTCTTTTCGTACTCGCATAGGTCGTTTCGCACCTGGTCAGTTGAGTTGTTTCATACCCAGCTCGGTCGTTTCGTACCCAAACTAAAACAGTAAGTTTTCCTTGTTAACAATTGGAGAAAAACATCACATTAATACGAATTGTTATTGTTAAAAAAATTCACAAATATAGACTTTTCTACGAAAGTATTACACCTAACTTGCGCTAGGCAATAATTAAATTGTTTTTGTTAAGAATTTCACAACTATACAAAACCGAATTTTGTTTTTCAGTTTGGGTACGAATTCACCAGCGGTTTGGGTACAAACCGACTCAAACTTGGTACGAAACGACCGGATACCATATATATTCTTGGTAGATCCTTCGCGCTACTCTTGGACCAGAGTTGAAACAAGAAAACCTACTTCTTTTTCTGGTCGGACTTATTTTTAAATTCGGGCAGAAAAAACTCGGTCCGTTATCTACAAGAAGGTCGCGCCAACCAGCATGAACAAATATTTTGAACGATTGTTCTTACTTCTAATAGCGGTGCGCAGCCATTCTACAAGCTGTTTACTGTCAACCACACTTTGGAAACACTTTTCTTTGGCGACATCCAAAGACTTCAGTGCTCGACCAGCTTCCAAAAATCTTTCCCCTATGCTGTTTAAAGGCTTCTCTTTGAACTCTGCTGAAGACTGTTATAAATTGTTGAAAGAATTAAACAGAATAAGTTTCTCTAACATAAATGTTAATAACGTTGAAGCCATGTGAACGTGGTGAGTGGCAAAGCATGACAAATGGCAAAGAGTAAAACTAGATAGAAATAGAGATGTTGATTCACTACTGCAAAAATAAAAAGGGGGAAAACCAATTTTAACCATAGAGAAAAATCATGGATTTTCCATTTTCAACCTGACTTGTCTTTTCGATAAGACTTAATATACTTGATACTTAAGTTACCTGATTGCGCAAATCATGAATGACCGTGAAGTCCCCAGTAAAGCCCATAGCCTCCTTAAATTTCCAGATGGTCTCAGCTGCATTAAAGTGCTGACAAAGCTGTTGGTACCGCTGAATCTGAGCTATTCGATCACCGATTACTCTTCGCAATTCCTCGGATAATGTCGCAGTTTGGGTCTGGCTTAGTTGAAACATGCGGGTTAATTCATCCTCAAGTTTTTTCTCCTTCAACTTGAAACTTTTAAAAAGTTTCTCAACATCTCCTAGAGACACTGTTCCATCCAAAACGCCACCAACATGTTTGCGCCACTCACTGAACGCTGGTTTCCAAACATGTTCAACCACTTCGGAGACGCTGAGGTAAGGCATCTTTCTCTCGCCATTCTTTCTGACTGTTTGGGCTTTCTTACCATATTGCGCCCAAAGATCCTGAAAAGTGGAACTTTCCCGCACTTTGTGAAGCGGCGTCAAAACTTGTTTCATGGCTGGTGGTATTTCCAAAAACTTGAATTGAATTTCCTTATCGTCGTTTCTTTCACACAATTGACATATTTGGTAACAAGAAACGTCTTCAATTGTTTTTGCCTTGATGTTGTCAACATTTACTGAAAACAAATCAGGCGTTAAATCAAAACAACGAACTAAAAACAACTTAGATAAATTCTCAACATGGAACGTGAAATCAATAAAATCAGTTAAATCACACAGTCAATCAATGTTAAAGGTTTAAGAAAACCAAAGAAGCGGTACTCAGTCTGGTACTCTTAAGACTTCATATATTATTCTCATAAAATGTACAACCAGTGCTAGTTAACTATGCTTGAATTAGAAAAATCTAACTAATTTACGAGATGTGCAAATTGGCCACGACAGGTCACTTAATGTGCCAGCGAATGACCTTCAGAAACATTTTGTTTCTTGGAGACTCACCTGGCTTAATCAGGTCACACATATGGATAAATGACTGCACTTTTCCTCTAACAGCTTGGTACTCCTCTATTTCTTCAATTCGCTCATCTACATTTCTTTCCACTTCCTGCTTTGACTCAGAAGTAGCTTCTCCCTTGGTAATGAATGTTGCTTTTAAGAGCTCCAAAAACTTTTTCTTGTTTTTCCGTAAAAGCAATAAGATTTCAACAGTCACAGTGCCCTTTGATATGCTTTCTACTATTGCATACAGCACAGATGTAGCCTTTACTAATGTTTCCTGGCCTTCCTCTGTTAAAATGCTTCTTCTTTCTGACTCGTCACCTAAAATCAAAGTCATATCTAATGCTTTCTTCCACTTTCAAAAGTTTCAAAACTGAAAGAGCCAAAACTTTTGATATATTATTAAATTATATAATACGTACAAAAAAAGGCGAGAAGAGCACCTCTACCATCTCTGGACAAGGTTTTTCAAAACATGGACATCGGCTGAGAAAGAAAGAAAGCCAGCCTAACAACATAGGCTTGCTATGCACGCAAGAGTTATTTTCTTGGATGGGTGGGTTGTAATGGGACTCTAAATAACTGTATTTTGCATTTCGAAAAATAAACGGAAAATTTCTTTCAAAAGATTCCAATAAAAGTATCGTTCAATGGAGAGCAAAAAGAAACCTAATTTATCTGAAACAAAATCTGACACGTATTCTCTGATCTATTGCCACTGGTGTCTGGATAACTGTTAGCAAAACGAAACTGCATTGGTACCACTCTTCCTTAAGTCTCATTGACCACCTTCGTTTGGCCTTGTCACCCAACACGCTCTCTCCCCCGTCGCGTGACGAGACCCAAAGAATGCTTACTGCCTTTCCTTCGTCAGAGACAGAATCAACATTTTCTCAGTTACAGCTGGTTGCCTCAAAGATATTCTTTCAAATAATTTTGAAGTGAAAAGCAAACCGAAACTCTTTTTTATCTCCAACAGATATTTGCGATCTCCGTTCATCATCGAACAAGTGAAAATATATAGGACTAAGAGCAAAATATCATATTTTTTAGCAGAACAACGTTGGCTCCTAAATTCGTTGTTGCCTATCTGGACTTTTCCCCGTGCATGCAGAGTACGTGATTAAATGAAGGTCGTTTAAAAGGAATTGAGGGAAGTCCAAGGTACCTAAACGCGAATTTTGATCGTTAGAAAATGTCTTAGCACGTAAGAATTGCATGGAATATTGACCGACAGTAGCATTTTGTTCCATGTGAAATGTTTTCAGTGGGGTAGGATTATGTTATGAAATTTAGGTTGCTTATTGGAAAATGGCATTTCATCTGAGAAAGTCTGGTTCATAATGACAATTTAACACGTAATACGCGACTTTGCTAAGACTGCGTCCAAATGAATGCTGGGATCGGCGAACCCGGTACCTGGTCCATCAAGGGCACGTTCTTTCGCGCGGCTTCGATCTTGGTTGCTCTTGTGTGAGTTGTAGAGTCAAAAAAGCTTCGCAAATTCTTTTAAAATGTATGTTTGCAAACCTTTTCCCTTTACATGATGGGCCAAGGAAATCACTGATCCGTGTGGGAATGTGAAAATGATCACAAACATTCCGAAAAATACAAAATTTAACGAAAACGTTTTATTTCCGATCCGTAGGTTCCCGCAAAAGTCCGTAATAACATGTAACACCTTCCGCTCCATCCCGATTATGTTATTCCTACTAACATAATACTCGATACGCTAACATAGAGTTACTTTTAGACGAAAAAAATGAAATGTTTGCTTGCGAACAGGTTTTTTTATGTGTTGCTTTGAAGTTCACATTTCTTGACTTCAAACACAATTACAATCAGAGACCTTTTTCAGTTGTTTTGAATCGTCGCAACCATTCCTGTACTATCCAAATCATCTTGGATTATTTAGCCCTTCGGGGGAACAGGCCTGGGCCTCTGTTTCGGTTGCTGGATGGTTCCCCTGTTTCCAGAGATACATTCATTCACAAGCTTTCCATGGCCATTAAGTACTGCGATCTAGACCCTTCACCTTATAAGGGCCATAGCTTTCGTATAGGCGTTGCTTCTTATGCTGCAGATGCTGGAATGTCCGATGCACAGATTAGGGTTTTGGGGCGTTGGAAGTCCAATACATTCCAGAAATATATCAGAATCCCTTACTTATCTTCTTGGTTAATTTAAGGCTCAGGGAAGCATCCGGCGGGGGCGGTTGCTGCTACTCCTAATGCCATCCTCTGGACTGACACTCCTGATTTACACGGGCAGCAGTTGTGTTCATTTCAGAGTTAAGGCGTAAAGGTATTGTGGCACATCTACTTTGCATTTCTTAGGCCGGGGCTGACTTGCAAGGGTAGCAGTCCCCTGTTCAGTTCCCAACTTATTTTTCTATCTTGGCATTGTCAGGTAGCACCTCTGCCATGAAGTTAATTTTAAGGCTGTTGCTATCTATCGGTAACCGGACGAAGTACTATAATCTTGCAGCTTGTTGGTGTATCTTAAATCACAAGCATCCTGGGGGTTTACTTGCGAGGGCAGTAGCTCCCCGGTTAATAAGAATAAGAGTTTACTAGTAGTCGGATTTTCTTTATTATATTAAATCTCACTTTCTGTTACCTTGTAATAGAGACGGGGAGTCTGCTTGTAAGGGCAGCAGTTCTTATTTCCTGTGCTACATTTCCTTTGGGTGGGGCAAGCATCAGGACTGCAGAGAATCCTAATGCTCTTTGGCATTTTTGAGTGCCCTCACCTTTACTGGGCCATAAAATGTTTTATTTGTTCCTGGGAAATTTCTCAATATCTAAAAACATGTTTTTATTACAGCGGCTATGGGCCTCTGTCCATAGCCAGTTAACTCCAAGCAGGGGTCTGTTTTGATTTGTGTTGGGGCCCAGCAAAACGAGCTTCAGGATATGCAGCACTGGTTTATATATGTAGATAGGACGAAGGGGAAAAAACTCAAAAACGATGTTAGAGAGAAATGTAACATAAGCAAAATGTAGAACTGATATGATATCTACATTTTTCTTATCTTATAAACACCACAGGCCTTTACTTAAAAAAGAGAAATTCCAACAAACGACCTCGGATTGAGAATGGTACACGTTCTGTCATTCATCAACCCGACAGAATGGCGCGAAAGAAGAGTGACGGCAGCAGCTGATTGGCGATATCAAACACACGCAAAACTTATGTTTAATTCCCACGTGTGCAGTTAAAACTCTTCTCAAGGCTGGGAATCCACGTAAAACGCCACATTATATAGAAAAAAAAAGATCATGGGCAACAAATTTTTTTTTTTACTGAGATCTTAAACAACTGTGGCTTTAAGAGGTTTAATGAACGAATCGAACGGCACAGACAACATAATGCAAAGAGGAAAATGCCCTACCAAAGAAACGGAAATATCCAGTCATTGGGTTCCAAGTGAGAAGAAGCTCTACAGTCGAAAGGTCCAATCCAGACCTGTTGTGCGATCGATCCGTCTTTGGCCAGGATTTCGTCAGTAACACCGACAAAAGTTCCCCGTACTTGGCTGCGCTAGAATCACCTCGCAAAGAAGATCCGTGTAAGGTCATAAAGGCACGGTCAGCATCTTTACCCTTTCCCGACTAAAATATATTTAAAAATTGGTCAGTGATGATATAAAATTATCCTTTTCGTTAATGTGTGTAAAAAGATATGTATATAACACTGTATACAACAAGCAAGAGCACACGCATCACATCAAAGTCACTATTCCATTTATCTCAAGTCTAAACACAACGTTCAAACTTCGAGCGTTTACCTCAATTATCATTTCCACAGCTTTGAATGCAAGTTTGCTGATAGATTCTCCGATGCCTCTGTCATAAACCTCCAGATTATGTTCGCAAAATATTTCCACAAGACAGGTCCCCTTCACCTTAGGAAAAAAAAAGAGGTAGTTAAGACTACAAGTGGCTACTCCTGCCGTATCCCACAAATCTGAGTCAGGTTTGTTCCACAAGGGAAGATAATTCAAGAATGTGGTGAGTAGTTGACATTCAACCACCAATAATTAAATGGTAAATAGTTATTTGTCGTACACAATACGAAAAATTACTCGGAGCGCATTTTTACTTACTGTTTACCATTATCAAAATATTACTTATACTATCAAAAACAGTTTTCCAAAGCAGGTGATGTTGAAGAGTTTGTTTTTAAATTTGAACGAAAATTAAACGTTGGGGATCGTCTTAGGAAAAAACAAATTAAAATGAATCAAAACGATTTTGAACTAAAACATAATTTTTAAAATCAACTTTTACAAGAAGGAAAAACAAAAAATCCAACTGCATGTAAGCATTTCTTCTCAAGTGGGGTAAGCAAAACAAATAGGGAAGCAATTTGTGAAAGGCCTAACGTACTACGGCGCCCGCATCGGAATGGCTAAGGAGAAGTAAACCTGTCAACAGGGTTAATAAAATTTCGAAGTTACCGGTAAATTCTACTTGCTAGACGTGAATTACAGGTTATAAACGTTTCATTTTCATATTTTTGTTTAAATCTTTAGAATTGACATCCAAATAATATTTAACCAATACCGAAGGAAGATCTTTCCTCACTGACAGTTGCTCTTGCTTATCCGCAAAACGTTGTTCCTGGTACAAAAAAGTGTTGCATATAACGGATTAAAACACAATTACCTTTCTTGCGCGATTCATGAAAAGCTCCGTCAAGTACATCCGGTATTCTTCAAATCCTTGAGTGCCATCTGTGACTTCGAGGAGCACACTCCAAACCTTAAAAGAGGTAAGTCAAAAGTTTAGGGTAAGCGGTGATTCGCCGTTTCTGTTTCGTATATAATTTCATTATTCTACATAACCTCAAATAGAAAAAATACACGACTGTAAAAGATGTTCTGAAATTTTGGACCTCAAATTTCGTGTCTTATGTATTCAAAATTTTAAGACTTTCACTAGGAACACTCATCTGCTTCCTTTATAGTTAGTTTGACCTCACAAATTTTGTCTTCGCTTTCACCAATGACGCATCATTAAAACACATCGAGGGTGCAAATCATACGTAATTCCTAAGGAGCTAATATGGCGTAAATCTCTATGTGCGCACGGCCGTGCGCCATGAAGTGTGCAGTTTTACTTCAGCTGCAAGTTCCCATAGAGTGAACACGTGAGGTTTCAAATATTCGAGATTGTTTATCCGCTTCATCCCGATTGAGGGAGACCTTTTGGAGCTCCAAATGAGAGGTAACTTGAATATGCTAAATAATACTAGTTTCGAAAGGAAAAAGGAGAATATGACTCTTTCAAGCGACGAAATGTGTTTTAGAGTTATCAGATACTTCATTCCCGCGAGCAATGCGAATTATGGCTGGAAAAAGAGAACTGAGTTTTCCGACCTCAAGTGAGGCTTTGCGACGATGGGGACTCTTCTTGGATATGTCCCAAAAGTCCATGGGCCAGAGTAGATTCTCGGTACCACTCAGGGGGACAAAATACGAGTATTATCCTATGGAAAGTTAAGTGAAAGACTTTACAAATTCATTTGAAAGCTATCGTGAAAGTGTAGCTTTCCCAATTTTTTACGCACTCGTCTATTGGAAAAAATACCCCTCACATGGAAACGAGACCGACGACAAAATGGTTATTCCCAATGCATTCCTTATTTATTATAACAAATAAATCAGTACATGTGACATTAAACAGCATTTCAAAAGAATGTTTTGCCTAAAAGCCAAGATTTTTTTTTGGATTTGAAAGAAAACTTAAATGAAACCATGAAGTCAAACTGGCAGCGCATCATGGTTCGTTTTCCAAGGTAGCGTGGTGTCTCAAAGCTCAAGTTCTTTCGATTCTTAACCTTGCCGTTTTATGACGCTTTAAAAGAAACAGTTCATAAACAAAGAACAAAAACACGTAGAGACTTAAAGCCGGAATTTCTAATGCTCATCGGCGAAGACACTTGTAAACAAACAGGTGGCGATCGAGTATTATCAAGATTACAAAGAAACTTGATGGTTACGCACAGACCAAATGAAACGGCTTCGTCATGAAATTTGTATTATTCGCTGCTCGGATCATGGAAATTATTATTATTGATTATTAAAAATCATAGGCTATTGTTTGAGTTAGTGAAGAGTACTAAAGCAGGGAATTATTAGCCTTTAATAAAATGAAGCGAAAATTGGAGAAAATTTCTCAATCAGCGGAAAACCCATAAGAGATTCATGGATGTAAAGTGGGAAGTATAAAGCAAAGGCATCGTCGAGAACACCCAAGCGCGAGCAGAACTTTTACAAAGAAATATGCACTTTCGTGATAAGAAAACTAGACATGAGCAAGGACCAAAACGTGCAATACTTTAACTGAACGCGTCGACTTGCGCACCGATCTCGCGATTAGAAAGGCTGCTATAGCCACGGGTGACAGCAGAGTTATTGGCCTTGCCTCTCGTAATGATTTGCCAACAGCTGACGCTTGTTACCACGGCCAGAGATGTCTACTTACGAAAAAACAGCAGGGGGTAGACATCTTAATCATGAGACATCGCTACTACATCTTAGGAGGCGTTGTAATGCACGTTATCATATCGCTAGCAGCGCCCGTGGGCAAATCCTGTGTGCTGATTGGCAACCTGAGCGGGCAAGATGGGCAATGTCGGCGATGTAGTCGCAAAAAGGGGCTGCAGACAGTCAAAACAAAGAAAACATAAACCACTCTATATTGTGCTGCAAAAGTTGCCTTTCTCTCCCACCGGGCTCTCAAGTAATTTTTGATTCTTAATAAAGCGAAATACTTTTTCGATTTAAGAAATCCTTTATTAGCCTACTTGTGCGATCAATATGGCTGGGTTTTGCTTTGTTCATTTTTTGTATTTATGTGCCCCGACTTCGTTTAGGTCTACACAAACGAAACCCGGCCAATATCCAGCCACCTTAACTTCCCGCCTGGTCGATGACGCATATTTGTCAGTGGGGTTCTTGTTTTGTAGAAAAAGTAAGCTTAAACTACGGAACGAAGACCTTTGCCAAAGTGCTTAGTCAGGCCGCAGAACAAGTTATATCACTCGTTGTGCTTTGTTGTATAAAGGTCCACAACGTGTCATGGTAGGGATTCTTCAAAACGAACACCTATCAACATGATGTATTTGAGCGGCCGGAAAAGCGTTTAGGCAAAGGTCGTTGTTAAGTAGTTAACCCAGCTTTTTCTACAAAACGAAGGCCTAATCAATAACGTCTATTTCAACGTCTCTCAAAGAGTAGCGAGCGATATCATGTAATCCGTGGCCTGGAAAAGCGTTTTCGCGAAGGTCTTCGTTTTGTAGTTTAGCTTTTTATGTGGACAAGGACTCTATCTATAACGTGTATTTCAACGCATCACAAAGAGTAGCGCACGATATTTCGATTGTGCGTCTTAGGTCTTCGGTCTCCGGTTGGTGTTCAGTCTTCAGTTCATAGATACCCCCACTGCCAGTATTATCGATATCATAACCGACGAGACAAAGTAAACAAGCACTTATGCTTAGAGGGTAAATCTGCCTCGAATAAAACCAATTACTTTATTTTTCTTGAATCGACTTGTATTAAGTCGACTTTCAGTTTGTATTGAAACGACCTAACTTCCCTTCGACTTTGCGGTCGATTAGAAGTCAATCAAGTTCTGCATAAGTTATCATGATCTTAGTAGGTGACAATAGGACTACTCCATTCGAAATCAAGGAAATGTAGCGAGCTGACCTGCACAACCGTGATGCAGACATGTCAAATAGTACTGAGTTTCCATGGCCACCAAAACCTGCCAAACTATGCGAGGGTACAACAAATATTCAAAACCTGATGCTTTTCTCTTAACACTCTCGCAACTGGCGACACAACAACCGTGCTTCGGAGAAGGAGGAAGAAAATCCCGATGACGAATGTTCTGAGGCATAAAGACGATGGCGACGATAAAGATTAAAAAACCAAAAAGGAATCATCCGTTAAGCTATTGAGATATAGTTGAGACAATTATGAAATCATTATTCCTCCCTGTTAATTGGGTTTTCTTGTTCAGGCAAATCAATGAACTTGAAGTATCCTGATTTTTTCAAATACCTCGTCCTAAATATATCCCTCTTAAACTAATGGGAGCATGTGAAGATTGAATAATGAGTATTTTTACTTGAAACGTATAATGCTTTATATTTTCAAACAATTTCGACTCATTATGCGTTAAGGTAATCGTTTCTTAAGAGCAAATCCGTGCAAAAATCAAACATTACATGGCAAAGTTAAAAAACTAAAATTCGCTGTTCTTTTGCATACAAGTAGCCTTGAGAAAGTATACAATTGCTGTGCAGTTTTTTCCTTGAAAATATTATTTGCTTCTGAAAAAACGGAAACGTTTCGTTTTCTGTCCCGAGATCGATTTGGCGACACCGAACAGGTTTAAGATAGGTCATGATTCACTCGACTCGCGTGTCAAAAGAACTGCGTTAGAAAAAGCTATCATAGTTCCAAGTTGTTGTACAGCTTTTCATAGTCTAAAAACCGTCATTTTTATAAACATTAAATTAATCCCAGTATTCAAGAGAAGTCAAAAGCTTATGGCTCTCAAGTGTTGCGAAAAACGGTAGGCGAAACCCAACGATAATTTTCAGCATGTGCCTTTGCTCAGAATTTCGTAAGATGACGAGAGATAATACTAGAGTTGATAATCTTTCAGAATATGTAAAGTTTAGCTTGGGGTAGTGAATTTGGAATTTTTCCCAATTCTTTGAAAATCGTGAAGAACGACGTAAAATCACGCAATCCTGTTGTGTACATGTGACCATCAAATCATGATATAATAAAAATTAACACTATTCCGATGCATATAACAAAGTAAATATAATAACCCTAACTCAAATATTATATTCTTAGCTGTTCATATCATCTCTATTCTGCGGTCTCCGTAAGTTATACATCTGTACCGTCGCTTTATGTCGCGGCTCGATCAAAACGGCTGCTCCTGAAAACGTCTAAACTTTGCAATTTGTGTTCCTTGTGTGCTTGATACGACGTGTTGGTGTTCTTTGCGACAAAATTAATTAAAACACTGATCGAGCCGACTATTTAAAGCTTGTGTTCAGAATTTTCTGCCATCGATCCTGTTCATCAATTATCTGTCCGGCCCGGCCAGGGGTTTTGGGTATACGGTATTTTGGGCCAGTATATTTTAGGTATATGGTAATTTTTTTTCAAAATTCCGGTATAAAGTATTTAGTTTTTCCTGAACTTTAGGTATTCGGTATGGGATACAGAAATTTATAATTCACTTTTCAGTTTTATTATGGTTCTTACGTGCGAGATGCTTGACGCGACAGCCCCGCAGCCCCCTTCTCCACACCCCTCACAAAAAAAAATTTCTATAAATTGCAATGAAAGCCTTTTGCCCTTGCCCTGTAGGAATTAGTGGACTGTGTTGCCATGCAATAGCATTATTAATTCAATCGAACTACTACAGGGAACACAAGGAATTATTTCTCCATATGACTTGTACTGAAAAATTACAGAAGTGGCATTTGAAAGAATCTACCTCTAGAACTGTGAAATCAGCATCACATATCAAGCTTAAATATTTAAGAAATCTGCAAGGAGCTCGGCAGCAATTAAGACAACAAGGCAGACGAAATAAAATAGAGTGCAAGAGCAAAGTAAGGAACCAAGTGACTTCAGTGATAATCGTGATGTTAATCAAATGGAAAAACAAATCAAAGAAAATATTGCACAAAAGCCTTCGATTGAGAGTCATTTCTTTTCTGTTTTATCCAAATACAAGACGTCTGGATTGTTTTTGCATTTACGATACAAATCTGAGTATGAAAAAAAAAAAAGGCCTTAATTGTGACAAAGAAGTTTTAAAACCAAGATTTCAAGCAGGCAGTGAGTCAATCTGGAGGCCTCTGTTTTCAACTGAGGAGTCAAATGATCCCTGCAGCTCATCTGACCAGGTGTTACAAGATAACAGAAACTCTATTCCTTTACACAAAAAGCCAAACTATTGTGAAGTTGATCAATGTTCCCAAAATTGGAAAGCACTTAGGATTGGGATAATTACTGCAAGCAAGGTTCCGTCTCTGCTTAAATTTTGTGGCATAAAAGAATTTGACAACTCATGGTTTGAAGGTAACAGTGACATAACTTCTCCTGGATATGGACTTAGATCCAAAGAATAAAAAAGTATAGAAAGGAACATTATCCATGCAGAGAAAATTCTTGACGTTGTTGCATCACTTGTATTTGTTACGGAAAGCCATGATTCCAAGGTGTAATGCATGGCGGCAAATTGTCAAGAAGCACAACAGTTCCGTTTTCTTTGTTAATTTTCTCTGCCAATCTGTGTTATTCTTACAATGTGGATAATCTATTACAGAGACATATGGTTCAATGCATTCAAACATACAATTGTAATCATCAACACTTAATCCACTCATATAAAAAATGTTTTGGAATTGGTCTCAAGGCATTCATAAGAAAATGTCAAGTCTTTCATCAGCTCTTTAAAATGAGAGAGTTTCTTACACATACTGTCATTCATTTCATAATTTGAATATATCAACAAAGTTGAAATGGTAAATTGGCCACCGTTACGATTATAGAAGCTGACGTTTCGAGCGTTAGCCCTTCGTCGGAGCGAATAGAGGAATTGTGGGTTGTGTGTGCTTTTAAAGGCACCAATCACGTAGCTCCATTTTCTGCCTTTATAACCACACAAAACCCACAATTCCTCTATTCGCTCCGACGAAGGGCTAACGCTCGAAACGTCAGCTTCTATAATCGTAACGGTGGCCAATTTACCATTTCAACTTTGTTGATATACTCAAATTATTTCTTTACCCCGACCGACACAGCCCCAAACAGTTTCTTTAGAAACTATCAGCCTTTATTCTTTTGGTTACAATGAACATATGAAGTTCATATATTGTGAACTGCGGTTGTAGATACGTATGATGCACGATCCTCGCAGTAGAGAGCGCTATTTATGCAATAGCGAAAATCAGACCCAGCTCTATCTGGGAGATCGTCTAAGTTCTCTCTAAAGCCTTTTGTCCAGTGCTCCGAGCATATAAAGTCACGTTTGAAATAGACTGCTTTGTTTTTCAGAACTTTATTATACGCGTGTTGTTTATATTTGCCCTGGATATCACTCAAACGATAATGCTGTAGTCCATCGAGTTTTGTTCGCCAAGAATTCGTACACAAAGCTGCAGCACAGTTCCAATGCTCACGCGTGATTTTAGACACTTTTTCTTCTGTATTTGTGTATTGGATTGATGGTGGATCTTCGAGATTTTGGCGAAAACCATGAGGCTAATGTCTTGTACAGATTACGTGCCTCTTAAAATTAATTTCTTCGACTATTTTGCCCAGGACAATCAAATATTCATCTATAACTGACTTATTAAGTGAAGGAACTTTAGTTAGAGTGTAATATTTCCCTCCAGTCTTCCAGGATACTTTACAAAAGCGACTAGCACAGCTCCAATGCCAAGAACCTTTACAAGCACTACTATCGGCGGCCATTACGGAAAAGTGCAAAGTCCGCAAAAATCCGGTAGTGCCATGCCCCCGCGCGCCATGAAATTAGGCACTTACAGTTGTTGACAATGAAACTATTGAAATAGATAAGGGAGTATTATCTGTTCCTGGCCTTGTTGAACGGGTCCACTGACACCACCTCTTGCAATGAAGCTGATGAAGAACCTTTTGCTGAGAACTACTTTGAGGAACAGGGTGACGAAGATTTGATGACCACGGAAGTTGGTCGGCCGCAAAGGAAGCGAAAGAGGGAAGTGAAAAACGAGTTTCTCTTCTACTAAGATTTGTCTTATTCATTTTTAGGTATTTAGTATTCTGTTTTAAAATAATTTTAGTTATTAAGTATCCCACATTTTACGATTTTAAGGTATGTTGGTATCTTGTGGGGAAAATATAGGGTATATTGATATCCGACTACCCCCCTGGCGGGCCTGATCTGTCTGATAGATTTGGATAAAGGCCTAGCGAGTTTGCGTGACAGTTGAATTTGTTCATGGAGTGGTTCATGGTTCATTGAGTTGAAGAGGAAGTATGCGGTCTCTCTCTATAATGCGCTACTTTGGTGTAGCAGATTTCTCTTTGCATCGCTAATAACCTATTTTACCGATAATTTATCTTCCTTGTTCCCCTCAATTTTATTTAATTAAATTAACCTCATTAATGTATGGTTATTTCTCACGTGAACGAAATGAAAATTCTAAATTTAAGAAAGACTATACATGCGTGTTCCTGCTCTTGGGGAAATCAAGGAGGTTTTTTGCTCTTTCGGGAGTAAAGTTCTTGTTCGCAAAGTTATCATATTATATTGTTGCGCTATGCAAATTACGTAGGGTAGCTCAGTCAATTAAAAATCATCGAGACCTCTTTCCTGTTTTGAACTGATTTGATTGAAAACTTCGGAACAACGATCGTCAAAAACTAAAGAAAAGAGACATCAAGCAAAAAGGACCAATCTCGGCCAGTGAGAATACCTCTTTTATCATATTTACAATTCTGTGGAAAGGAGTGACGTCACTTGATCACATAAGTATACCTTTAGCTACTCATTAGGCACTGCTCTCATACATAATATTAAACTAGAGTAATTGTGGCACTTGTTATGCTTATGAACCAATACTGCATTGTCCACACCTTGCTACTTTAAATTTTATTTGTTTGCTTGTATGCAGTTTTACCAAAAATCTATTTCCCTCTTCAGTCTGGGGGGGGGGGGGTGAGATTATTATTTGATCTGGCCATGGGTAGCCCTTGTCAACGCAGATGCGATAGGACGCAAGAGAGGATAATGAAGTGATAAAGCACATTTCCCAGAGAAGTTCGAGTACATGCTACAATAAAAAATAAAAAGCAAAGAGAGGCTACAGAACAGCCTCTGATGCCACTCAAAATAACCACTGTTCCAGTCATTAACTCTAATGCTTTTCATGCCTACCTTAAGTTCTCTTGAAAGAGCTTCACTCTGGTAGTTGTCAGGCATCCTAGTATCAAGAACTGATTCCACCTTACTTCTAAGCTTTTTCGAAAGAGAACTCAGACTCTCTTTTTTCAAGGCTTCCATTTCTTGAAGATTGATGGGGTTCTCAGTTTGACTTTCTAGTATGGATTGTTGACAATGTTGTATGCTTGTAAACAATAGCTTGATTGCAAGACAAATCAGTTCCATGTTCTCTCGGAAAGGGAGCTTGTCCAAGCAAACATCAACGAACTGCAAACTTGCAGAAACTTTGAACTTCACAATCTTCATGTTAGAACTATTGGAAAAAAAGAGTATTAATTTCAAGTAATTTCCCTTGACATGACCTCGTCTTGCTATTGGATATGAAGGCTATACACAGTCCAGGTCACACTGGCCTTTGTAGTGCCTAAAGAGGTATGATGCCCGACACTGATAATCTCGGCTGTTTCCTGAAAATTTTCTCTTACCATTTTTACCATTTAAAAGAGGGTCAAGGTATAAATGCTCCTGAAAAAGGGAAGACTTTGGTACACTGTAATGAGTTTGTCGTCATCGTTACCGTTGAGAAAAAAGAAATGCTGTACACTTTCAATCGTAGCAACGGTGACTAATTGATTAGAGTTGAAGCCACCAAAAGAGTCAAGAAGGTTCTATTTTTCAGACTTCAACATTACAAATGGCTGTCGTCAAAACTTTTCCAACAAATTACCAATTTCAAAAAAAAGGTGGTGACCACTTAAAAATCTTTGAAATGGAATTCAACTCATATCTGGATCTACCGCCCTTTTGACTCACTGAGGTACGATATCTTTTTCGACTTCGATATCCAATGACTGAAGCTCAGTTTAGTCACTGGTGTTATTCATGCATTAGTACCATCAAGTTCTGAGATATCCCATTCCAGTTGGAGAGAATGGGTCTCAATCTATAATTTCTCGTAACAATTCCTATGGATATGGAAAGATGGCGATCGAGTGACGCGAAATTCAAATATTTTCATACTCTGCAACACGTCATCTGTTTACATCGTTTCATTTAATTTGCGAGGTTATCTCTGCCACAGGAAATCTCTGGATGCAGGGAATTTGGACATCTTTGGATAGTGTCTGCAGACCAATGCAGGTCAAAGCATGCAACAACTCTTCAAGTCGACAACAAAGAGAGTCAAATCTTGCTGTTCCCTCAATGATCAATAAAACCATTTTAACAGAAGCTGTCACGGAATATATGTACAGTAGTTTGTTAAAAATTATGTTGTTGACAATGACACTTCACAATCGTGTATCAAGGGAAAATACGAATTTACCTTAGAATGTAGTCTATCAAGTAGTTTGCTCACGTAAATTAAAATAAAAATAAAAATAAAAAAAACCGGAGAGAACCGACACTGTTCTTGGTGAAACTACACAGTTAATCAGGGTGGCTTGATAACACTAAAACCTTTTAGACTTCTGAAGAGCTTAAAAGTTATAAAGGGAGTAAGGTTTCTGAGAAAACTGTGGTGCTTAGTCGGTGGGGATATTACAATTTAATTTGGTTTTTATCACCTAAGTTGATAAAACCAAATTAATTTAACAGTTATTTCAGTAAAAAGTAAGCTCTAATCCTTCCCAAGACGAAAAGTAAATCGTTAAAGTTCAATTATGACCGACTGAGATTCTTTACGCATTAGTTAAATATATTCAACCCACCTGATTGTTTCGTTAGCTCCCTCCAGAATATTGATCATCGATAAAATGCACTTCTCGATTAACATTTTCTAACCAGCAAACCAAAAAGGAAACTTCAGTTAAAATGAAAGGTACACGTTAACAAAAATTATCATTTTTCAAAATACATAATTGGCTAAGAGTCGTACTTTGATTACATGTCAGGTTCCAAAATGCCAGATTCCCTTACATAAAATTCCTTCAGTCATTCATCTAACAACAATATCGGAGAACTCGCTTCCAAAGCATTATAGCACGTTATGTGATCTTACTTCTTTTAGCCACCTTGTATCTCATTACAGTTTTAATGGCAACTGAGCGTAAAAATTTTAGTTCTACATTACAATATTTTAGTAAAAGAAAACAAAAAATCGGTACAAAAAATATATGTTCTGCAGCAACCTTTTCCTTGTTTAAAACTCCACGAGGAAACGACGTGACCAAAGCAATGCAAACGTCGGAGACGTCGAACAATCTAGTTGGCACAAGTTCACTCAGCATCCAAACAGGGACTGCCCGGAGAAAGGTTCTTTTCAACAAAAGATCTACTTGGAAGGCTGCAACAAGACGAGGCCACACATCTGTAAAATCCCTGCGTGAGAAAATGTGCATAAATTAAATCGTTCACCGAGCTGGACTCGATTGCTAGTAAACATGAACTTATCCACCCTTCTGAAGATGGAAATAGTGGAGATTTTTCAACAATTTCTATAATATTTGCCATCCTTTTAAATTTTTTTTTTGTGTGTGTGTGTTTGAAATATTTTATACATTAGTGTGTTTGTTTCCTGTTGTTCGTTTGTTCAAAAGCTTTGAAGCTTGAGCAAAGGAAAAGTTTAAAACCTTTGGTCAGTTTTTTTTAAACTTTTCTCAATATGTTTAAAAAGTCTCTTCGAGTAAGGATAATCCTTGCCAATTATCGACAATATTCCATCGCCTGATTAAATCCAAATTTATGCTAAGTTTACTTTTTGAAATGAGCCGATCTCTATGTTGCGTGCAATGGAACAGGATAGGCTGAAATTCAGATCTTAAGGAGGCTCGAAAGGGTTTACCACAATCAAAGGCAAGTGTCCAATAGTAAAACATATAGAGACTCATCATCAGGGCAATGTTTTAGCATCTGCATAAAACTGTTGTATAATCAGCAATTCATTTGCGCCATTATTCACGCCGCCATTTATACGTCTTATCACAACAGAAATATTTGTTAATTAGTGTACACTGTAGTGTAACCGTAATGTATGCAAAATACTAGGGAGCTTAAGCAACCACAACGAAAGGGACGACGACGACGTCAAGTAATCGCGGAGGGTCTGGAACGAGGACGTGGTTTTTAGCGGGAAAATGAAACTTAAGCACTGAAGTTGCTCAAGGACGACGACGTCTGAAATCTTGTTTATTCTCGCTTCGTCAGTTTAAGAAATGAAATCGTTCATAGACGTCAAGGAATTATTAAGCTTTAGCTTTATTTACAATAATTTACGCATCGCAAAAGTTTAAAATATTAAATTTTACGCAAGTTGTTTGAGATTTAAACTCAGTTCTAAGTGTTGCTGATATAAACAAACCTATTTTGCACAAGGTTTGTCTGATTTTCAACATGCCTTAGCCACAGGCAACCCAAGCTCACTACCAGAAAAGCGTACGTGACTCTTAACGTGTTGCGCAACGTTTTATATTTATAAAGGTTTGTATGGGATGTTATCGGTTTGCCTTAAAAGAGAGAAAAAAATGTCTTGTTTTGAAATAAAATGGGCTTACCTTATTGCTTTGTTGTTTTCTTTGTTGATTTCGAGCGTCTCAGGCCATTTTGAAGCGTTTTCGGCGAGTTAGCGCTATGTTGGTGTTCAACTGCTAAAAGAAAGACAAGGCCGGAAACCTATTTTAGAAGTGTCCGTCGCCCGAAGCAAATAATTCCGCCAAAAAATTACC